TCCAGTCAAAATTAAAGGATTCCGTCAGTGTTTGTAGGGTACGTCCTGGTAGGTGAATTCCCATCGCCTGTGTTTTTGTGAGATTAAGTTTGTAGTAGGATACTTTGTTATAGTCTTGTATGCACTGTAGTAGGTTCGGTAGGGATATTAGCGGTTGCGTCAGGGTCAAGAGTATGTCGTCCGCGAAGAGGTTGAGAGTGTACTCACTGTCCCCCACTTGGACGCCGTGGATATCAGGGTGAGATCTGATCACTGCAGCCAGAGGCTCCAGTGCCAGTAAGTATAGCAGGGGGGACAGGGGGCACCCCTGTCTCGTTCCGTTGGTGATGACTATCTTTTTTGACACAAAAATTAAGGACCTGAGCTCTGGGTGCCGAATAGAGTGCTCTGACTACAGAAATGAAGCCCTCCGGTATCCCATACCTCTTTAGGGCCGCCTCCAGGAATCCCCATCCCAGCCGGTCAAAGGCTTTTTCTGCGTCCAATGAGAGCAGAACCCCCCCTTCCCGTGTCACCCCTAGGCTTTGCATGAGTTCAAGGACTTTTCTGGTGTTGTCTGCCCCCTGGCGCCCCGTCACGAATCCCACCTGATCATCATGTATAATGTGTGGTAGTATCGGACCCAGTCGAATAGCGTACAGTTTAGCCAGTATTTTGGTGTCAGTGTTGAGGAGGGATATGGGTCTAAAGTTTTGAGGGTAGGTTGGAGGTTTGCCCGGCTTGGGCAGAGTGATAATGGGGGCTAGCTGCATCTCCCCCGGTAGGGTTTGTGATCGTGCGGCTTCATTAAAAACCTCTGCTAGGCAGGGGGCCAGTATAACTCTAAACTTGCTGTAATAAGAGTTGGCAAAGCCATCTGGGCCCGGGGCCTTGCCCCTTGGCAGCGTCTGTATGGTATCCCTTACCTCCTCTGGGGTGACTGGTCGGGTGAGTGTTTCTTTCTGTTGAGTTGTCAGGGTCGGAAGGTTGAGTTTGTTTAGGTAAGTCTCTATCTCGGTATCTGTCGGGGTGGTTATGGTTGCGTCATTACGGAGGTTGTACAGGTCTCCATAGTATTGTGCAAACTCGTCGCTAATAGATAGCGGCGACATAACTTTCCCCCCTGCTTTTGTGTGTAGGAATGCTGTCTTCTGTGACTGCTGTCGCTTTTTTAACCTCGATGCCAGCAGTTTACCCGCTCTATTCCCATGGGAGTAATGTGCTGTTATTTATTTTAATTTTTTTTGGTGAGGCTTTACAGGACAGAGTGCTTCTCCACGGGACATGTTAACTCACGGGCAGCTGGCTCATCAAGGAACCAGAGCAGCTTTCCATGTACAGGTAAGACACATGCAGCCGGTAAAGGTTCAGGCTCTTCTTCCTGGAGGATACGCTGCAAGACACAAGCATTGTAAGTCTACTTAGAGTTGGGGGATAAAGCAAATACAAAGAACAGTATTCATTGATCA